TCACCTGTATACCACCTGTATATCACCTTATACCACCTGTATATTGACTATATACCACCTGTATATCACCTGTATACCACCTGTATATCACCTGTATACCACCTGTATATTGACTATATACCACCTGTATATCACCTGTATACCACCTGTATATCACCTTATACCACCTGTATATTGACTATATACCACCTGTATATCACCTGTATACCACCTGTATATCACCTGTATACCACCTGTATATCACCTGTATACCACCTGTATATCACCTTATACCACCTGTATATTGACTATATACCACCTGTATATCACCTGTATACCACCTGTATATCACCTGTATACCATCTGTATATCACCTGTATACCACCTGTATATCACCTGTATACCACCTGTATATCACCTGTATACCATCTGTATATCACCTGTATACCATCTGTATATCACCTGTATACCACCTGTATATTGACTATATACCACCTGTATATCACCTGTATACCACCTGTATATCACCTGTATACCACCTGTATATCACCTGTATACCACCTGTATATCACCTGTATACCACCTGTATATCACCTGTATACCACCTGTATATCACCTGTATACCATCTGTATATCACCTGTATACCACCTGTATACCACCTGTATATTGACTATATACCACCTGTATATCACCTTATACCACCTGTATATTGACTATATACCACCTGTATATCACCTGTATACCACCTATTATATACCACCTGTATACCACCTATTATATACCACCTGTATACACCTATGTACCACATCTATACCACCCATATACCATCTCTATATCACCTGTATACCACCTGTATATCACCTGTATACCACCCGTATATCACCTATATACCACCTGTTTTTCACCTGTATACCACCTATATACCACCTGTATATCACCTATATACCACCTGTATACCACCTATATATCACCTCTGTATACAACCTGTATACCACTATCTACCACCTATATATCACCTGTATACCACCTGTATACCACCTATATATCACCTGTATACCGCCTATATATCACCTGTATATCAACTATATACCGGTACCACCTGTATACCACCTACATATCACCTCTGTATACAACCTGTATACCACTATCTACCACCTATATATCACCTATATACCACCTGTATACCACCTATATATCACCTATATACCACCTGTATACCACCTATATATCACCTCTGTATACAACCTGTATACCACTATCTACCACCTATATATCACCTGTATACCACCTATATATCACCTGTATACCACCTATATACCACCTATATACACCTATATACCGGTACCACCTGTGTACCACCTGTATACCACCTATATACCACCTATATATACCACCTATATACACCTATATACCGGTACCACCTGTATACCACCTGTATACCACCTCTATACAACCTGTATACCACCTATATAACACTTGGGAATCTTTCTGACATAGGATTGGATAGCATAGGTCAAGGTCAGTCAGTATGACGTCGGCAGAAATAAAAAGCTTATGTACACACTTACTTGAGTTATGAACGGAATTTGTGTACATGCTTATGATACAGACTGAACATCAAGTGAGCTTATATGTCATGGCCTGGTTGTTTGTAATCCATCGTTTGGCATCCATTTGTTTTTACTGTCCTTTCCTACATCCAACACTTGCTCAGGTTCATATATTACACAACCTCTTACAATAAGCCCTGTTGACACATGTTGAATTTAGTGACCCCTACATTTGCAAGTGTGAAACAGACCAAATGCAAGCTCTCGCTCTACTAAACATTTCTGACCACATTAATAACAATTTTTAAATATTTGCATCATTTTTTAAGTTTTGTAGTTCAGGTGGCCATTAAGACCCCTAATAAGACCTCATGCTTCTCTTCCTAATGATTAGACCAACATGCAAACATACTTGATGTACAACTCATGTGATATAGAAATGTACACTGAATATTTAACAAAAAGAATGACGAGAATGTGATAACAATTTCATAGGCCCATAGTCCCAGCCCCCACGTTTGACCCCTGGATCTGCCCTTGAATTTAATACGATTTTTGTTGTGAAACAACACATCTTCCTGGGTATGCACTTTATCCCCACTCAAGGAGTAAATTATCAGTGGATGGTGAGCTTCTCCACCTCTGTCACTCTGCCTGGATAACTGCCACCCTGAAAGTCAGTAATGATGTCGTTTAATGTTCCTTTTAGCGTGTTGTGCAAACTCTTCTCCAGTTTTCTTAATTTGTCAGTTTCTATGGAAACAAGGTCAATTAAAATAATCATGCTAATAGTAGGAATGGATGAATAAATTCTTTTCTGGTGAACATTCAAAAAATTGTTCACGATACCTCAGTGATAATTTTTACATGCTAACATCCTCCAAGTGGTCTGTAGAGGTGCTCTTTGACATTTACAACTTCCATGTGTTCTATGCTTTGAAATTTTAGCTGATCTGGTCCGGGGGTGGATGTGAGCTTATATGAATGCCATGTCCTCCATCTGTTCCATTAATTGACTATCATCTTCTCCTTCAAAGCCGGGGGCATGGTTGGCCCAGTCGCCTAAGGCGCCGCGATTCGCTGTGCAGAGCTGTGTCCCTTGAGCACACCAGAAACCTATGATTGTGGGTTCGAATTCCGGTTTGCCCCGATTATGTTTCTAGGTTTGTCAGCACCATACCCATGCTCGTGGGTTTCACTGAAGTGGTAAATGTCTGAGACCTGCATCACTTCGGGCTTTCCTCCCACATTAAGCTGACACGCCGCGATATAACTGGAATACTGTTAAAAGAGGCTTTAACCCCAACTCACTCACTCCTTCAAAGCCACTGAAAGGATGAACATGAAACTTCAGGAGAATGTCTAGCAACTTCAATAAGTTGGACTCAGTTTGTTGCATTACAAGCGATGAATTGTTTTAGGTATTGTTCAATAAAAGAAGAATCACTTTATGGATGGAGAATCCAGATCTATACAGGTCAATATTGGTGAAGTCAAAATGGTTCATGTTTCCCGTTGGAAAGTTTGGGTGCATTCAGGACAAGGTTGGGATCAATGGACCTATTTTGATCTAATTAGATCTGATCATGCTGATGTGCAGAGTAAATACTATCAGTTGCTGTAATATTGGCTGTACATGCCAATGAACAACAAGGAAATTAATTCCATTAAGTAGTCTCCAGATGACAGTCTGTGATCTATCTGGTATCTAAAAACCATGTTACGACATTATTTACTGCTGTTATCCTTATCTTGTGTAGATAGGTTCATATGAATGGCTGCATTGTCTAAGACTTTGTAATCTTATATAATTAGTTTTGAAAAATACTTGAGGACTTCTTTTAATGAAAGGTATAAGAAATGATAGCTAGACAGATTTGTCATGAAATGATCTTCTCTAGAGTATCAACAAGGGGCCTGGCATTACCACTGTTCCCGGGGGACGGCTCGGATGGCACATACTTACGTCAGAAAAAAGAGTTAAATATGTCTGGTTCACACTTGAGACTTGGAAAAAAATATTCATCAGACTTTTAATGAAATGTGGAAAAGTTTCTCTTTGCTCAAATTAAAGTGTTTGGGAAGACAGATTTTAAATGAAATTCCTCTTCCAAAATGAAATAAAGACATTTATGAAAATAAACATTTTTGTGGACAAGTTTGTTTGGTTTTCCTAACAATGGTAGACTCCTCTTTAGGTAGACTAACATTTAGTCTATGAAATCTTATATTACACAATAACCTTCTTGACTCTAAAAATTTTTTTATAAAAATTTCCCTATGCTATTTCACAAGAGCTGGCAAGACTTGCTTTTGTTTGCGTTTCTAGATTGTTTTTTGTTTCATAAAGCCAAAAATAGATATTCCACAGTCATGGTGCTCGACTACCTTTTTGGGGTGCCTACCCCCTATTTTAGTGTGTGATACTAATAGCATCAAATACAGTGTATCTTCGTCTTAGACTATACCGGGTTACTGCTAGCGATTGTTAGGAGTGAGTAAGTTTTGCTTTAAGTAGCACCACTTTGAAAAGTATATCAGCCAATCACAGCATGTGAGGGAAGGATTAGTCCCACATTGGTGCATGCCATTTGAACCCGTCACCGACTAATTCTGAGTACACATATTAAGCAATTCTTGTTGACTGCTTGGGCCATGCCAAGAAATAAATATTATCAGTTCTTGTCAATTAATAGTGTTAGTTGACCTTGACATCATCTCTGCCCTTTATATGAGTGATGGGAGGCACGGGTGGTCGACGCAATTTGCTCTGCAGAGTTGTGTCCCTTTGGTATATGCCAGAAACCTATGATTGTGGGTTCGAATACCGGTTCGTCCCGATTATGTTTCTAGGTTTGTCAGCACCATACCTGTGCTCGTGGGTTTCACCGATGTGGTACATGTCTGAGACCTGCATCACTTGGAGCTTTCCTCCCTTTGCCACGACATAACTGAAATACTGTTAAAAACGGTATAAACACAACTCACTCGCAAATATATGAGGTATGGGTATACATTTTATTCCAAAACAACAGTTGTCAGACAAGGATAGCGCACAGCAACTTGAGCAACTTATAGCACTTGAGGAGAGGTGAAAGATTATTGCACTTCTATAGCAACGTGCATGCACATGTGTGTGTGTGTGTGTGTGGCTGCTTATACTAGTCCGGACTGATGTCGATTTATAGTGCTATCCTACTGAGATACCATGCCGCAGTTTAACATGAATACCCCACTCAGACACAGTATGCTTACTTCAAACTGACCCGTCCTTGTTTTAGCCCTATAATGCCGAGTGCCAGACAGGGTAACAACAAGTACCATCTCTTAACGTCTTTTAGTATGACTTGGCTTGGGGTTGAACCCCGTTTTTGTTTTTTCTTATTGAATTGATTTTGTTACATCAGTTATTGTAATAGATAATGCTATCGCATTTGTCTAACATATGTCTTTGTTTTGCTATTTTCCAGAATCAGACAAATATCCATCAGAGTTATCTCCCCCTTTCTGAAGTTTGTATTTCTTGAGCCTCAGCAGACGGCTCAGTATCAGCCAATGAGAAATGGCCTACAGAGAGCGCTCATTGATGTCTGCTTTGATACAACAGACAGTGGAGCCAAACAAGTGGTTTCATTTTTGGCATCAATTCTTCATTGCTTCCAGGTACCGGTAATAAGTTCATGTGGTGCATCTGCAAGTTAGAGATTGGATAGATTTTAATGAGATATTGGCTACTTGATGCAAATGCCAGGCTGCTGTTACGATTCCACTATTTGTTTCCAAGTGTTTATCTGTCTCCTAAATGTGCTAAATAAGCTTCCTAGTTTCGGTATGGGAAAACTAGTCTTACATTGTGACATGTGTTACCATGGCCAGGTCCAAATATGGCTGGTAGTAAACAAAACAGTAAGTCTACATGAGAAAGTTATTGACTCAAAAACACATATGTAGAAATCATATGTGGAAATTGAAGGTGCAGACAAATACTTTCACTTTGAAATACAGTAAACTACGTTTATTATGAACACGTTTATATCGCACTGACGGATATAACAAACTGATTTTGGTCCCTTTCATTTGCTGTATATATACTGTATATATGCTTACAACAAACTACGGTTATAACAAACTGTTAGTGGTGCCTGTGAGTTCAATATAGCCATAGTTTGCTGTATATATACTGTATATATGCTTATAACAAACTATGGTTATAACAAACTGTTAGTGGTGCCTGTGAGTTCAATATAGCCATAGTTTGGTGTATGTTTCTTGTTCCTTTTATTATTATATCAGATCTCTGATAGGAAGTTAAACAGAGGATGTTTCATGTGTCAAGTGAAATATCATGGTGGCGTAGCCATAAGTGAAAATATCTCCTTTTCCCCCGTCATGTGATGAGAGAAACATGATATTTCACTCTACACATGGAATATCCTATTTATTATATACTTTTTGTGAAGTTGTTGACCCGAAAATTAAATTATTTCATTACAAATGTAACCCCTTGAGACGTAAATTCTCCCTACCTAACACACAAGGACATTTCAGCACCCCTTGTATTTGCAACTTCAAAAGTAGTTGCGGCATCTTAAAAAATATATACAAAAGTAACAAAAAATATATTTAGGGTCTCCAAAAATTCTTTATCATACGTTGGGATATGATTATATACAAAGTCAACTTCAACAAAAAATATTCCTGAAATCCACGAGACCGTAGCTGGAAGCGAAAGAATACACACGGGTCAAGTAACGGAAATGGAGCTTTGCAAAACAAACAGTCTCGATTGATGAGTTAAATGAGAGATTTTCAGTTGATAATGAAACATTTTCCAGAAAATAACAAATGGCAAGAACTGATATTAACTCCATAAATGACTATCTGTCATTATTTTGCTTTGTCAGTGTGGAACTAACATAAAAAGGAAGTCAACAGTTTATTAACGGACTTGACACTTACAATAAAGGGAGACAAATTGCGGGACGGTAACTCTTGTATGATAATAGTTGCGTCAAAGTGTTATGTTCACAGCAGTGAAATATCTTGTGTAATGTTCACTGGAATGAAAATATAACTTTTCTCAACTTCAGAAAACTCACTCTTCTTTCTCACTAAAGTATATAATAAACTTTAATATCTCATTGGTATTATGTCAGCCATATAGCAACTTAAAGTCCACTTAATGTGAATATTTGAAGTCTTATTGGTCAGGGCTATTTGGCTCGTGAAAATCCAGGAATCAGTGCTTCTCCTATTAGGTATCGGGTGGTCAGACTTATGTCATCCTATTCCAATTGCACAGATCAATGCTCATGATATCAATCACAGGATTGTCTGCACTAGACTCAGTTATTTACAGACCGCTGCCATATAGCTGGAATATTTATGCAGTGTTACATAAAAAACAAAAATTCAAGCTTCAGTTTTTAGTTAATTGTATGTACTTTTTATGAGAGAAGCTACTATTGTTGGAAGGTGGTGCTTGCGTCTCTTGCAGCTGAAAGCCATGTGTAAACCATCTCACCTCCTCTCGTCAGATGCAGACCTTTGATCAACTGGCCTACCTGACAGTGTTCCTCCTGGACATTCTGAGGACCGCCACCAGACTGACCTGGTCACCCACGGAGATGTCCAGCCTGGCCGGGCTGGTGTCCTGCTGCCTGGGCACCCTACAGCCATGCTGGACAATGGGCATTGACAGTACCAGGCTAGAGAAGGCATTGCTGCTCTGTGTAGAAAAACACCCCCAGGTAACACACGAATGGAAGTTGTTATGTGTCGATTCCCAACTTGAAACAGTATGTCAACCCAGAAATCTGTATGTAAAAGAACTTAGTGTGAAACCAACAATAACCAACAAGTGGTGTACAATCAACAAATGTTTTACAAAATTGACTAGGTTTGCAAATCAACATAAAGTACTGCGCAGCAATTACAATGGCAGTACACAATAGAGCGGGTAGTACAATATTCAATGACAGTATACAATATGATATGGCAGGGGTTAGTATCAAATACAAAAATACAGTGGTGATAGCATAAGCCAGTGATAATAATATATATACACCCAGCGACGACAGAGGTCAAGCTTCCGTGATGGGATAGGCAGAGAATCAGGGATGATGAGCGATCCTCACATGAAAGCTGGTTTCGATGTGATGAAATGTATGAGAGATGCGTAGACCCGAACTTGTTTCTTGATGTATACAACCTACCTAGCTACTGGAAAGTTCAACACAGTGCCCTCACCATTCTAGCAGCACTAGAACATTACAGAAGTTTCTATAACATACCATCACTGTCCGCGGTATACTGGACCGGAAGTTTACACACCACACTCGGATCGAAACATAGAAACCCCCTGACGACTGATCACTGTCCAAACACAATGCAATGAGCCGCTACCGAACCTAAACAGAAACAGTGTTACACAGTTACAATCATTATTCAACAATAAAATACACTACCATATAACAAAGTTTTGTTGTGTGGTCAAACCCGACATTTGCTCTTTTTATGATTGTTTAGATACAGCATTTAGGCACTGTTATGTGAATGTTATATTTTCAACTTTAGGATTTATGAAACTCATCAGATATTTGTCATTAACTGTTCCATTTCCATGGCAAACATGTTGCAAGACCTAGCTCTGCAGAGAGTTAGGAATGAGTTTTGATCTGACATCGTTCAATAATGATCACATAGCTAATTTGAAAATGGAAATGAAAAAGACCAGTGAAACTGACTCATCTTTTACATAGTTAGATCTATGCATAATGATTCCGAGTGACAATTAACTATCCAATGACCTAAACTTCCCAATAGTCAACTTTACTTTATGCTGAGAGTTATTCCAGCTGCTCCAGGGTTTGGTGTCTACATTTTTCCACTTTTGAGGTACAAAGATTTCAAAGAGTGTTGTTGAACTCTTGCTCAAGAGGTGTTTGATCGGGATTAAAACATTCAAGTCCTTCATTAAGTAAAGCTTGTGATGGGTGTCCCCAGGGGGCAGGATACGGTGACCTTTTTGTGAACCTCTGATATCATTGCTATTTGATAATGATCATACAATCGGAATCATACAATGGACTCAGCTACTTAGCTGAAATTTCTCATGATTATTGAAAGGGTTTTGTTGCTTTTATTGATGTGACAAATGTAATGTGAAGTTCTTTGAAGTGGAAATTGTTTTACATACACTGGATGGGGTTTTCAGGACAGAACCGAGGGGCAGATTCATTAGGCATTGACTAAACTTCACATGTAGTTTCCAGAAATTTGATTTTTACTGAAAGCATCTTCTTCCTCATACATGGTGCATGGGTGTCCCAGTCGTCTAAGGCGCCAGAAATCTATCATTGTTCCTGGTTCGCCCGATTATGTTTCTAGGTTTGTCAGCACCACACACATGCTCGTGGGTTTCACCAAAGTGGTAAACATCTGAGACCTGCATCACTTTGGGCTTTCCTCCTACATTAAGCTGACACGGGGTGATTTAACTGGAATACTGTTAAAAGTGGCGTTAACCCCAACTCGCTCACTCACTCTATATTTTTGCAAGATTACAAACACAAAATCTGATATGTGATAACAACTTGGGAAAAACTTTTTTTTTCCAAATTCAACATCAATATGGTTCTGAACAAGCCATTTCTATTTATCATTACAAATACAAGCATCAGTGTAAGCATTTTGTTAGATTGATTCATCTGATGACATGCTACATAAACATAATACCATTTCACTTCATTACATTTTGAGTTAAATTTTGTTTCTTTTTCAAGTTTATTTATTTTGTTCTTTTTATTAAAATTGTTATTTTGTTTATGATATGATGTTGAAGATGTGATTGAGAGAATTTTTGTCAGCAATAATAAATTAGCTGATTTTTTATCAATCTGTGTTTAATCACAATGGTATTCATGCATTTAGAACATGTCAATAAATATCTCTTTTATTTTTTAAATGTATTTAAACTAATACTAAACATGTGAGAACCAAAGTAAAAATTATATAATATTGCATCTTGGATGAATTTGAAGATATACAATACATACACCATGTCCCTAGGGAGTTCAACTGTGTGCACAGCCATGTCCTCCAGCCTTATGCAATTTAATCTAAATTTCAAGTCCCGAGTCTCCAGTTTGGACATACTTGAAGTGTTAGGACGTCAACACCCTGGCCACAACACAAATAAAGTCTCCTATTTCCCTGTGTTGAGCACCCAAGGGCACAGACAGATGAAAACGTGCACATTTTGTTGAAAGGAGTTGAAGGCGCCAGCAGAACTGACATGACCCTTGGTGGATAATGGTTCACACTTTGTTGATGTGAGGAATTAGATTTGCACAGACCCAACATAATGTGTTCAGTCATGTCAGATTGGGATTATACATGTTATGACTAAATCTAGTCATTGTTTGATTTTCTGTGTATCTAAGTTTGAAAAGTAAAAAAGTCTAAGTTATACAGATGGTAGATCATTCATGGCGGTATGCCAGATAACATGCTGTTCCCCAGATGGTGGTTACAGTGAGATTATTCTGTGATGTTTCTCAACAAAGTGGTTGTGTAGTCACTTGTGGCACAAGTGCATTAATAACAGGGAAAAGTGGCATATAATGACCTATTTGTGAAAAAATTTGAAAGAGTAATTATTTATTAAAATATGATGATCTCTGGGTCCTGTTATCAGGCACTTTGATGATCTCTGGATCCTGTTATAGGGCATTATGTTGACTTTGGGTCCTGTTATCAGGCACTTTGATGATCTCTGGATCCTGTTATCAGGCACTTTGATGATATCTGGATCCTGTTATCAGGCACTCTGATGATCTCTGGATCCTGTTATCAGGCACTTTGATGATCTCTGGATACTGTTATCAGATATTATGATGATCTCTGGGTTCTGTTATCAGGCACTCTGATGATCTCTGGATCCTGTTATCAGGCACTTTGATGATCTCTGGATCCTGTTATCAGGCACTCTGATGATCTCTGGATCCTGTTATCAGGCACTTTGATGATCTCTGGATCCTGTTATCAGGCACTCTGATGATCTCTGAATCCTGTTATCAGGCACTTTGATGATCTCTGGATCCTGTTATCAGGCACTTTGATGATCTCTGGATCCTGTTATCAGGCACTCTGATGATCTCTGGATCCTGTTAT